AGATTAAGTAATAAGGCAAATATACTTCTCTGCTTCCATAATTATCAAGTTCTTTCTAAAAACTCTTCCTTAGCTACCCCTGGCCTCATGTTTCCAAAACTCTTCCCTGTATATACCCCTCAGTGAGCACTTAGCATTTATGGTCTTGTATTATCCTTAAACACCGATTTCAGCTCCTCAAATATACGTGAACTCCTTTCAGGATGTGGGGCCTGTGTGGGTAGGTTAAAAATAAAGCCAGTGTGGGCCTATATTTTCAAGGTACTAAAAGCTGCCTCTTTGGTGGTATGAAGTGGAAACTCTACAGGGCAAGGTGGAAACAGGAGAGTGGCTGAGGACTCTGCTGTTTCCAGCTCTGAAAGAAGAAATCCCTTGCAGATACTTCATTTTTAAATGTTGAATATTTAATAATCTCTTTGGTTACTAGATACTAGCCAGAAACCTTCTGAACAGTTTTTATGTGATACTGGCCAGTTGTCTAAACTTCCTCCAAAGTTGTATCTTTGAGGCAGAACTGCCCTTCAGTGAGTCACAAGCACTCTGGCACACCCACACCTGGGCCAAGTCAGCGTCAACTTCCATACACCTGGAAACACCTCTCCTCACTGCCCTGTCCTCCTGTATCTCTCAGGTGCCTACATGCAGCCAGGAGCGCGGGAGAACATTGCCTATCTCACCCACACGGAGCGGAGGAAGGACTTCCAGTACGAGGCCATGCAGGAGAGGCGGGAGGCTGAGAACATGGCCCAGAGGGGCATTGGCGTGGCCGCCAGCTCTGTGCCCATGAACTTTAAGGACCTCATTGAGACCAAGGCTGAGGAGCACAACATTGTCTTCATGCCCGTCATTGGGAAGCGACACGAAGGGAAGCAGCTCTACACCTTTGGCCGCATTGTGATCTACATCGACCGGGGAGTGGTCTTTGTCCAGGGCGAGAAGACATGGGTGCCCACCTCACTGCAGAGCCTGATTGACATGGCCAAGTGAACTGTGGCAGGCCCAGAGCCAGCCAGAGACTTGCCCCTGAGAGGGATGTGTTGTGAATAAACGGTATTTTAGATCACCTTCAAAAGCGTAACTTCTTTACTCGGGAGCTACTCCACATTGGGCCAGGTCACGAGGGAAGGATGTAAAGCGGGACAATGCCACTTAGCAGTGCAGGAATCTTTATACCAAGTCCTCATGGGGGGTATCGTCCTCAAAACAAGACAGCCAAGTTGATGTTCTTTCCTGGCAAAGGAGTTCTCTGTAGTTCCTCCATGGCAGCCTTCCCTTTAGTCTCCGGTGGCAGCTTCTACCTCAGCCAACACTGAGTACCTCACAGTGAGTTCAGTCGGTAGTGGAAGGATCTTCTGTCTTGTTCCTGATGATTTCAAGGTCCTCACAGTCCTGATAATCTGGTTCTTCCTGAAACTCCCAAATATCTGTGGAGAGCTGTTCTAGCTTTTGCACGGGGAACCAGTGGACAGAGGTGTCATTAAATATGTCCATGTATTGTGAAGTCTGAGGAAACTCAAGCTCCTCCAGTCCTTTTAAAATCTGAGCAGAAAAATTCAAGTGCGAAAACTTTAGCTAGTCACAGTAATCCCCACTCTTCTGGGAGAAATTTCCATTTTACTTGTCATCCCCACTTTCCTTTTTAAAAAAATAACAAATAGGATATTTCAATTTAAATGCTTTTGCACAATGAATTGGGCACCCCAAGGACAGTGGGTATCATGGACTGTGATACTGAGAATAAAAATAAAGGAAATAAGGAAAAAACTAAGAGATGCATTAAAGAGTCATAGCTTTCTGGAACACAGACCCATGGAGAGAGCTGACAGTACACTAGCACCACTTAGCCCCTGAGTTTCCTCCTACGCCTGTAAAGATAGAATTCTTCACAGTTTCACACCCTTTTCCATCCCAGCCCCTTTATTCAGATACATACCTTTGCAATGTAGGGATAATTTTTCTGCAGAATCCTTGCCAACAACCTAGAAATTAAAAAAAAAAAAAAACCATGATTAGGAGGTATGAGGACAGTTTCATTCAACTTAAGACACAGAAGGGCAAGATGATTGAAGTATAGGAAGAATTCAGGAAAAAACTCGAGATGTGAAGTAAACCAGTTAAATAGTTGAAAATGCGGGCCAGGCACGGGTAATCCCAGCACTTCGGGAGACTGAGGCGGGGCGGATCATTTGGGGTCAGGAGTTCAAGACCAGCCTGGTCAACATGGTAAAACCCCATCTCTACTAAAAATATAAAAATTAGCCGGGTGTCCTGGTGCACATCTGTAATCCCAGCTACTCATTAGGCTGAGGCAGGAGAATCGCTTGAACCCAGGAGACCGAGGTTGCAGTGAGCCGAGATCACACCACTGTACTCCAGCCTGGGGGACA